TCTTCCTTCTATCTTTTCCTCTCAGTTATCAGTTGATGATCTCACATTCACAGAAACTCCAGACACATCCCATATGCAATGCTGTCCATAGAAGCAAAACTCTAACACTTGCCTATATTCATGGTTTACATTTTCTCACCTATCTCTTTCCTCTATGGTAACTGCGCTTTTGTGTCTACCAAGTCAGTAACATCTGCTCCAGATCTCAGGGACTTATATTTCTGCCAACACCAAAATTAAATTACTTGTCCATCATAGATATTTGATGTTTGTGAATATTTTCTAAAGGACTTATTCCACTTTTGTATTTATGGCTACTTCTTTTCTTATGTTTACATTGCCCTAAAAATACCATCTGCTCTTCTTAGGAGGCTCATTACTTTCAGTGGTTCACTAAATTAGGATTTTCAGACAGAAGAGCAGCAGTTACACTTATTGCAAAAATATTAAAGGAGTATAGTAAATGTAAGCATTCAGTAAAAACTCACCTTATAAAAGGATTTCTGCAAAAACAGTTATGCAACATGAAATTTTAGTAAAGTCTCAAAGTATTTATTTAGCCATCTTAAATACATATTCTTTTTTCCAGTATTATTTTATGTAAATTAGGTTTTTAATAATCATGGAAATACATCCTCCTCAAGCCTTTTTTAAGAACTTCTATCCAGAGGAAATAAAACTAATATTTATGTTAAAAATTTTAAACCACTGCATAAAGGAAATAAATATTCTTAAGAAAACAGAAAATTTCATGAGCACACACATATGATATTAAAATAAAAATTAACTCCTTAATTAGTAAACATAGAACCAAAGCAAACTCCAGGCTCGCAAATGAAGATTTTTACTTGAAAGATGGCTGTTTTATGTTTGCAGTTGTATTTTTACCTAAGCATAAAAGATTCAGAAAATATTTTACCTTGTCACGGTTCTCTCTAGCACAAATTCAACTAATATACAGATATCCAAAGTCCATTACACTCAAAATGAGTAATTACATATTTCATAGACATATTAATATATTAACATAATTATATGAAGTAGATGGAGAAATTCTAGTTCTATGAAGTTTTATGACTTTATCTAAAATTATATCTGACTAAATCACTGTTTTAAAGGCCTATTTTCCTTCTCTTTGTACAACCAAGATAACAGATACCTGTGTGATAAATCCCTAATTAAAGAAGATACATTTATGGAAACGGACTTGACTACGCAGAAAAGCTTTGGAAATGCCAATTCCCAGAATAAGTTTCTGGATGTAACCAGTGTGATCTGAATGGACATTCAAGTCTCAAAGCAGTATGGAGGGAACAACTTGAGATACCGGAGTGCAGTGAGTGATTGCACCTGGATACTCCTCTTAAAGTTTTGAGGAGCAAAGTGTGAAAGAATAGACGAGCAAGCGCATGGAAAACATCAGTGGGGATGCACCAAATACACATGCTAACATGGCATGCCTTTAAGGCAGTGATGCCATCATTTTGACTAACAATTCCTTAGATTTTATTTCTTTGGTTGTAGAACTCTCCAATTTGATGTTTTTTTTTTTTTTTTTAATTTTTTCAGTGTTCCAAGATTCATTGTTTATGCACCATATCCAGTGCTCCATGCAATACATACCCTCCTTAATACCAACCACCAGGCTCTCCCAACACCACCCCCCCACCCTTGCCAAAACCCTCAGTTTGTTTCTCAGAGTCCACAGTCTCTTATGGTTCATCTCCCCCTCCGATTTCCCCCCCTTCACTTCCCCTTTCCTTCTCCTAACGTCCTCCATGTTATTCCATATGCTCCACAAGTAAGTGAAATCGTATGATAATTGACTCTCTCTGCTTGACTAATTCCACTCAGCATAATCTCCTCCGGTTCCCTCAAAAAAGTAAAAAAAAGAAATCTTTCACTTACTCTTTAAGTTGTTCATCTTCATTTCACTGTACATGGCAACAAAAGGGATGCAGGTTTCCGTAAGTCCCAAAAATATGTTCTCAGAAGGCCCACAGGGAATTCAAAAGTAAGACTAGTTGGGAGCCCTGCCTTTAGAGTAGCAACAAAGTCCTTGTTTTCCTTCTGCCTTAAATCCCTTCCCAAGGAGCTTTCTGATTCATCTTGCTGAATCTCAGCTGGTACCACTCTCCTGACTCCTACCAAGGAGCACCTGTGGGGTTTTATGCAAACAGTTCTAGGGAGAAAAAGTGGCTGTAGGTAAATATGTAGATGAAGCTAGAGGAACAAAACCTTATAACTTAGGGGATTTCTTTCTTTCTTTTTTTCTTTTTTTAATAATGACTTTATTTGAGAGAGAGAGTGAGCATGAGAGGGAACACAAGCTGGGGTGGGAGAGAAGCGGAGCGAGAAGCAGATGCCCTGCTGAGCAGGAAGCCAGATCTCAGGGTCCTGTGATTATGACCTGAGCCTTACGCAAATGCTTAACTGACTGAGCCATCCAGGTCCTCCTCTGGAGGGAATTTCATCACTGTTCGAATTCTTCTGAGAAGTCTGTCATCTAGTAACCATTTTCCCAATGTTTTTTTTTTTTTCCCCAGAAATCACCAGCAACCTCTAGTGGTAAACTTGCTTTCTCCTCTTGGGGAGGGAGAGATAAGGAAAATCTTGTAAAGTTCCAAATTCAGTGGCTCTAGTTTAGATCCCCCTCAGCAATGCCATAACAATATTTTTCTGGTTGGCCACTAGAAAACTCCACATGGATATCCCACTGGTTTTCCAGTGAATGGTCCAAACTGAAATAATTACTAAGAGCATTAGTTTGGGACCCAAAAGGAAACAAATAGTATACTCAAATTAGTATAAAGTCCAAGTTATCTAAAACTCGATGACTATAAGAGTTTGATTTAGGGAGCCTTTATACAGGTATAGGTAGTTGTTGGAAAACCATAAGGAGTAAACCAGTAACTCAGGAACTCAAGAATAGTAATAGCTGAGTAATTACTACTGCTAGTCCTGAATGAAAAGGGAAATGTTTCTGGAATTCAGAAGGGGAGATTCGTGTAGAAAAAGCCACATTGATAGAAACAGTGATATTCTGTCCAGGGAAACAGCTAGCCCAAGTTGGGCTCTCATGGAGGGATGTCCCCCCATCTTTTCACTATTGGCTAAACCCAACTGGAAGCCAGAGGACAAGAGAACCTGTATTCATACAGGTCAGCCTCCTGGGGTATATACAAGGCAGAGAAAACTGGTAACAGATCTGAAGCTAAGTGGCAAACAGTCTTTTCCCATTCCAAGTTCCTCCTCTCCTCTGAGCCGGTTTTCTACTCTTAGTGGTTTATCTACTCTTAATCTCTGTTCCTGCCATGATCTTCATGATGTTGTTCTCTGCAAATATCTAATATCAAATCCCTACCATTTTATTTATGAAATATTTATGTCCATGCTATTCTCTCCTGTCACTGTTACATCACTCTTAATCACCAGCCTATCATTTCTTAGTAGCATCTATCACTTTCACAAATTACTGTCTTTACTTGTATGTACTCCAAATTTCCAAGAGAAATTTAGAACTCTGTCTCCAGTGTTCAGAACTCTGTCTCCAGTGCCTAGTAGAGCGGCTGGTACATAGTATATATTCAGTAAATATATGTTGAACACATGAATTAATGCAAACCCTCAATATTTATTGGCTCCACATTACAGTGCATTTTTAGTAGACTCCGTGACATTAGTGTTAGCCATCTTCAGTCCACCGTTTACATTTCTGCCGACATGCATCTTCTCATTCATAAATTGGAAGTCACTCCTCTGTTTAGAATTATTTAATGACACTTCATGGCTTTCCAAATGAGGAAATTCATTCATTAAACAGCTTTCTTTTAATTGACCATGTATAAAGGAAGGGAAATTTGAGATGAATCAAGAGATTCAATTAGAACGTTTACAATTTACTATGAAAAACAATAATGAAAAATAAATCATAATAAGGTATAGTAGTCCAAGATGGGGGGAGCACTGAGCAGGAGTTCCTAACTCTAGAACAGGACAAGGCTGTAAGGAAAGGCTTTCTAGAGGCCGGGATGAGGAAGAGTGAAAGATGGGGGTGGGATGGTGACCATGTTCTGAAGGGGCCTGAAAGCTACATTTATAGGATCTTGACTTCTTAGCTACATGGTTATGAACCTTTTGTGTCTCAGTCCTGATGTTTGTCAGTTTTATATCCCATATTTTCTCACTTTAGACTCCCTGTCCAGGGATAGCTGATTCTTTAAAGTTCTTTAAATGTTGCATGTGGATCCCTACTTCTGAAATTCTGCCCAAAAAGACCTATTCATTCTTGCTGGCCTAAGAGGTAAGATTCTGTTTAAAGCAACTTGACTTCTTTCCTCAGTTTTCCAGAGACAGTCTGTTTTTCCTGGACATTAGCAAGATCATATTATATAACAGGGATTTGGAGGTAGAAATGCTTACATTCTCTTCATATAATTTAGGGAGCTAACAGACACTGGAATATATAGAACTTCTTGAGAGAGCTTTCTGACTTCCCAAATCATTCTTCCCTGTTTTAAAAGATGGCTTTTTCAGTAAACATAGTCAAATGGTAACTTCAAATTTAATTTAATATAGTGATTTAATCTGAAACATGGTAAACAACAATAGATATGAGACCAAACATTTGACCTTTAAATGTAAATATATACTATTTATTAGTATGCTCAGTTTATTGAATATTTGTGCTCCTGTGCTACTGTAGATAATAAAGCCTCATATGTATTCTAAGCAGTGGTACTAATATGATTTCAGACAGGTGAAAAACCCATATGTATCAAAACTAAACTAACAAACATCTTTTTCATAATTTTCTAATCACAGTTCTATTCTGGTGTCAAATCAGGCCAAAGTAACATATGGAAACAATACGACTATAATAATTTGAGTATTAGTTTATTATTGCAGAAATTCACAGTAATTAGCATAGAAAAAATTAAACTCACAAGTATGTCATTATTGAAATGCACATTGAGTTTTTCAGGCAATGTGTTGCTCTACATTTTTATAGGTATGAAGTAAAGACATCAAGTTAAAGAAGTGAAATTCAACAGTATTTAAGTTACAAAAACCAAAGATCTTATTTCTGATATTTAAGACCAACCATCTAGACAAATATATGTAGGAACTTAAAGTCAATGCTAATGATGTAGCTAATGATTTGAAAATGGATAAGAGTACACAAATAACAAATTATACTGGATATCTCCATTAGCATTTTCCTTTTGGCAAGTCAATGGGAACTTATAAGATGGATCAGGAAAAATAAACCCTGCTAACCATAATATATCATATTTTGATGTAACTAATTACTATTATATAGATTCAAATTTATTATGAAACAAATCATGCAGACTGTAACTTGGGGTAACATATTTTGCCTTCAAGGAAGACTTTAATTTTCTACCAGTGTCATAAAAGTTACCACCATACATTTTTACTTGAATACTTTCTTAAAAAAACAAAAAAATCTAACATCATGCCATTATTACTATTTCTTACATTATTATCCTTAATGATCCAATATCATTAGATCCATCTTCACATTTTCCTTATTGATGACAGCTGGGGTATTCTGTTGACTGACTACAAAGACTTCCTGTAAAGAAAGTGGTTGTTAATGATCCTTGACTCTTAAAGAATCAGTCCTCCAGGTATTTGGATTGGTGAATGATCTCTTGTTTGACTTGATATCCTGGAAGTTCTATATAAAAGTAAAAGTTAAAGTTAACAACATGCTATTTTAATGATTTTACAAATGAGCTTCTATGTGCTTATATTTCTGGATGGATTTTATCCCTGGAGAGAAAAATATAATCAAGTTCCTGAATGTAAAGTCTCAATAGTCGAATATTCTATAGTCTTTCTAAGAAGTATGCATTTAACTGTGATTTCCAAGGAATCATTATTTTAAGAGTCTTTTAAATTACATTTAAGTTTTAAATTATTTAAGACTTACTTCATATTTAAGATTTATTTATTATTTATTTAATTTATTTATTTTAGAAAGAGAAGGGGTGAAGGGCAAAAGGGGAGGGTGAAGGAGAGAAACAGACTTCCCACTGAGCACAGAACCCAAGTGGGGCTTGATCTCAAGGACCTGAGATCATGACCTAAGCCAAAATCAAGCACAGATGCTTAACTGACTGAGCCACCCAGGTGTCCTGGTGCCTCAATATTTAAGTTTTAAATTATTGACTTCTTTACAAATTCCTCCGAAGATTCAGGGTTGTTTTAATTTCGCATAACATGAAACAAATGTAAAAATGTTAACTTGTGTTGCAGAAAGGTATTCCCAATGCCTGAAGTGGCAACCAGCCTTCTTTCATTAAAAGGTGCTGGTCACCCCTAGTGTAACATGGGTTTTGTTGTTACTGATGATTTTGTTTGTTTTGTTCTTTCCATGATGGCTTGTAATTTTGTCATTTACTTAACCCTAGATCATTTACTTTCTGGATCTTTCAGATTATGGGTAAAGATTCATTTTAAATTTTATGGAAAATAATTTGTAACTACATGTGGTGTACTTAATAGTAGGAATGATTTGCCTTAAAATATACATTAGAGTAAATTCAAGATTTTTGTCGAAAACACCCACATTATCATCCAGTAAAGGGATAGGCAGATGAGAAAGAAGGTGAACTTAAACAGGGAATTTTGAAAGAAAATACCTTACTTATCTGCGGTACAACAGTAATCTATAAAAACTCAATGTGATAGATATGAACTTTATACATTATTTGTGTCTAAGAAATAAAGATTCAGAACCATTAAAATAAGATTTTGGCTAAACAAGAAAACCATCTGTGTCTCTCTGAAATGATATGTCTATAATGGAATAGGTAGGCAGGTCCAGTAACTGACAGTGCTCTCAAGTATTTTAAACCAAAGTCAAGTTTAATAAATTCCAATGCTATTAACCCCCTTAGAAACTAGAGCTATTTAGCCTTTAAACTGTATCTTGGGACCCAAGGAACATCTCATACACATACAATTTTAAGGCCTTGGAGAAAAGCAGTTTGGGTACTTGTGTTGGTGAGCACCAAATTAAATGCTCCATGGGATGGGATCCAATGAGTAGATAAGTAGACACTGCATTTAAAAATTCATTGGAATATATTTGGGCAGAGTATAAACTCATCAAGTGCCTGACCTGTTGGTATTGCCATATACCTCTCCACTTAAGTATTTCATTTTATCTGCCTGCTTGTCAAGGTCTTAAAGTGAGAGATTTCTGGAGAAGCCATCAGTACACAAGCATTGAGTAGTGTACTGAATTCTCTGAGATTGCCGTAAGAGAAAGGTCTATTGCCATTGCTCTTCTCTAGACTTAATCTTACTGATAAATATATTCTATGTGTGTGTGCCTATACATGATATAAATGTATATATGCAAACATACATATTTCTTCATTGCACGATACTCAAATGAGACACAAATACACACTCATGTATAATGAACAAGAAAACAAACATCAGGGGCTTCTGGGTGGCTCAGTTGGTTAAGCGGCTGCCTTCAGCTTAGGTCATGATCTCAGTGTCCTGAGATCAAGTCCCACATCAGGCTCCCTGATCAGCGGGGAGTCTGCTTCTCCCTCTGCCTTTGTTGCTCCCCCTGCTTGTACTCTCTCTTTCTGTCAAATAAATAAAAATCTTAAAGAAAATGAACATCACTGATTTATAAATATGAGTTCTTTTTTAAAAATGAAAGGTAAGCAAATATACACTGTTTTATGTCTATTGGTCAATATTAAATGAGTGGAAAAATTTTAGACCCTGGACATCTAGAAATATAGACATTGATACATCTCTAATGTAAGTCCCACATGTTTGCTGGAGCATTACTGCATTCCAGCAACGAGGACAGCCAAGGAAAAAGATTTGGAAAGAGTGAATTAATGCGAGGAAATAGTAATAAGTGTTTCTAAGGGTACCCTGTGAAGTCTCATTAAATGCTTCTTTTAATAACTGTATATTAAAACATGAATACAGTTTATTAGCATATAAGAAACTGAAGAGGAAATCTTCAGATAAATATAAACCATACAAAGTCCACAACAGCTCTGTTAGGTAAGCTGATCAATCCTGCAAATGATTTGAATGAGGAATGCAGCAAAGTTCAACTTGGAATTTGTAGGAAAACCAGGGGAAAGATTGATAACAGTTTAATTGGGGGGAACGATGCACATGTGCTGCTAAAATGCAACATTAAAGAAAAAAAAATCTCCCTGATCACATTTCTCTTGCATCTGAAGACTTAGAGTAATGTTTCCATGGACCTATCCCACATTAAAAAATGATTTAGTATGTCTTAACGGAGAAGCTTTCATTCTCAGGCCCTTTGTAGGGTCTGCCATTGTGAAATGGCTGTAACCAGGCCGATTCTGTTCTAGCCCTTCCCTTCTGAGTTGTATCCAGTTACCTCAGCTTGAGCATAACCAGGAGAAGGATTCCACAGGTGACTGTCATGCACATGACAGCGTAGATTACTTCTCCTAGAAACGAAAGATTAAAAAAACAATTACTGAATTTTTGAGAGAGAATAAATAGCAAAAATAGAGGATGGATTTTTAACTGACCATTGAAAGGGGAATGAAATCCATTCAGAGTTATCTCCTTTGCAGGTTTTCTTTTATGCAATGCCATGCCTTTGACATTAGACAGATTCAGATAATCTGAAAGAAAATAATGAAAATTAGAGTATTTAAAAGTCATACATAACTTTTTTCTAAGGGTTGTAATTTGTTTTATATTATATTACAAGGTAGCAATTTATTTCTGATGCTCTCTTAATAAAATCTGATAGGTGAGGATGAAAGTAGGAGCACGTTCCTTACATTTTAACAGGTTTTTTTTTTCCACCTTTTAATCAGATAATTTCTTTACAGAGATTGCTGGGTTTTTTGTTTTTTTGTTTTTTGTTTTCCAAAACCATGATTAGGGAAGTACATTACACTTCACGACAGTTCACTGTACCTTATATAAAGACCAGGGGTAAAAATCAGCAACTTGAAGCTACCCATTGTAATATTAGAAAGTTTCCTGTTTGTTTGTTTTACGGGAATGATTATTCCAATGTGCTTTTAAGGATATCTCATTTCCCTAAAACACTTTGTATTTACGAATCTTTAAAAAAAACCAAAACTTATTTATTTACTTATTTGAGAAAGAGAAAGAAAGGGAGAGCACAGAGGGAGAATGAGAGGGAGAATCAGACTCCCCACTGAGCAGAGAACCTGAGGTGGGGCTCCATCCCCGGACCCTGAGGTCATGACCTAAGCTGAAGGCAGATGTTTAACTGACTGAGCCACCCAGGCACCCCTGTATTTATAAATTTTTATCAAGTCCCTAAAACAATCACTCTGTTCACCCTTAGTCTTCCAACATCCAACTTTCCTTATTTCCCTACTCTGTCTCTTGTAAGTCCCTTCCCTCTCTATTGTTGTCAACTAGCTTTTGTCACACTTATGGGAAAGGGTCACACTTATGAAAAAGCCACTCTATGGCCCTAGTCTTTGTGGCAACATTTTGCTAAACACGTATCTATCTCACTTCACAACTTACAAGACAAAAAGATGGGATCCTTAAAACTAATTAATGGATTCATTTTTAGTGACATTCATTGATAACTTTGAAGTGAACTCATCCCTAGTTTTGATTCAGTTCAACACAGATATGAATGTTAAATATACCAATAGCCCACTAACCAATTTCTTTGATGATGAAGATTCAGGTAGGATTTGAATCTTTAAAAATGGGTGGGGGAGATAAGATAAAGTTTCCCCTTGAGAGACTGGCTGTCCACTCTGTTTCATGTCCTTTGAGACCTAAAAGTCTGAGTAGACTGTTGTTTGTAGAAATGAGTGCATCAAATAGTGGAATCATACATCTGATGACAATTAGTGACAAGAGGCTCTGAGTAGGAAGGGAGATGGAAAGACATATTACCAACAGTCCCATCCAGTCCTTTCTTCACCAAGAGTTGCTGCTGTACACAAGCCAGCTGCTTGGAAGCCAAGATTTGAGGTCTAAGTTAGGAATAATCAGCAGAAAGCAGAGGAGACAGACTTCAGATCCTAACAAAGCTCTCAGTATGGGCCCAAGAGAAGGAGCCAACGTAAGAGGTAGAAAAGGGAAGATTTTGTTATTAGAAAACCCATTTTCAAGGAGTCTGAACTCTAATACAGTGAAGATGTTTTAGTTTAAGATTTTTTTAATTTCTAGACTTACATACTGGGTTATCATATATTTATAGAAGTCTGACTTTCATAGGAACTGAAAAATCAATCTCTTCTAAAATCAAAAGTAATAGAGGTAGAGTGTGTGAATTTTTTTTTCAATTTTGTCATAAAATACATTTTGTTATTCACTATAAAGTTGGAATGGGAAAACTGAGCTATTTCAAATAATATTTTTATACTAGTGGTTCCTTTTTTGGGGAAGAATTAATTTTAATCAAGTTGATCTTACAGATTTTGGTGAAGCAAATTATATTAAAATTTTATATTCAAATCGCTTCAGAATATGAAGGATAGTTTTGTTTTTAAAAAAATTCTATGGCATTTTATAATGTTTTAATTCTTTTAAATTTAAAATTCTATGGCATTTTGAGGCAGATCCATGGCTTACATATAGATGTATAATGTACATTGGCTAATTATTTGAATGATGCTATAGTATTCCTTTATGAAATTCTATCCCTAAGTACATTTGGTCTAGTTAGGTACCATGATTCATCTTTACATAAGAAAAAAGGTTACTATTCTGACAAATTAGGCTGCCTCTAGGTAGGTAATTGTTAAACATTCACCTACCAAAGTTTTAAAAAGAATCGTCTCATTCACTAAATTTCACTCACATGGAACTCATTAACAAAGTTATAATAGATCAATGACAGAAATGTTAGCTAATGATCCCAGTGAAAATTTTAATGTGTCTAGCAATCACTCCACAATCTTAAATATTGCACCCTAGGAGGATACCGAGTATCAGTTAGAGAGATTAATGTTACAGAGGGTTTCTTGGCTACTGAAGCCCATTGGAGATTCTTCCCTGCCTTTTATAAACAGTGAGGTTTACGGTGTTTTATAACCATGAAATTAAAGTCGGCAGAGTTAATAACCAACCTCAGTCCCACACCATCTGCTATATTTATAGATAAACACTGTCAGTGACTTGTTTATCTTAACTCATACCCTAGAGGAGTTAAACACTATTATGAACTATATTGTAAAATCCCTGTACATTTGATGGGAAATCAAGATTAATTTCAGCCCTATGTTAAGAACAAATTTAAATAGTGTTCTCCTCAAATAACTACAGAGATGTGATCATTTCTTTTCTTTTTTTTTCTTTTTCTTCCAAATCCTTGTGCAGCAGTGGCTGAGAGCTGATGGGATCTAAAACTTTACATTTTATAATTCTTATGAAATGGTAAATGCATAAATAAGGATACAATAGATCAGATACAAAATAATGATTTAAAAAGAAATATCAGAATAGTTGAAATAGAAATTAAATATATCATATAGTGCAACTTTGTAAATCTTCGATTAAAATTCTACTTACATATACAAGTCTGCGTGGAAGAAAAATCTTGACAAAGTGAACATTTTCATAGAATAATTAAATATGTTTTATAGCTTTTTAAAAAATTGCTAACATGTCACATAGCATAGTTAAATGTTATTGGCTTCTTTCTATTTTTAAATAAAAGACTGCCAATACCATGACAAAATTTCATTGAGAATGAAAATGCAAGGATGATCTTCTTGCATATCCAAGGGTTATGCAATATGGAGCTATTTCTAATTTGATCAATATTTCAATATGGTCATCTGAAGATATTTCAATTCCCAAATTGGAAACGAGTTTTGAATTTTTTCACTTAATGATCAGTAGTGAGAGTCCATGTATCATGGACCTTTCTATCATTAGTGTATATAAATCTCCTTCCAAAATGGATCTAAGAAGCATTACAGCTGGGGAGAAAGGAAAATATATAACCATCTTTAAATTTGGAAAGACAACACATTAATAACATGATAAACCTTGGTATTAAACCCATATGATGACAGTATAACATCACTGCTAAAATGTATGTTGTAAAGAGTAAATTGAACAGATAACATGCTTTCCCTAAATAATAACATGCAGCGTCTTCATTCATTTAGATTGACAAATTCAAAGAAGATGAGATGATGTCTTGGATTTATCTTCTTGCACTATGTATGGCTAACCATGTTTGTCAGGCACCAGGGGGAAAGGGAAACTTAGCAGTATTAGCCTGTTGGTTTGCAAACCTCAGAAGTTCCCTGGATGAAATCTATTAACTGGTTCTCCATACACAGATGAAAGACTGAAGAAAGAGGCGGACCCCTCCAGATTGTTAGGTGGTTGTTTTATTTATTTATTTATATTTAAAGATTTTATTAATTTGACAGACAGAGATCACAAGTAGGCAGAGAGGCAGGCAGAAAGAGAGAGAGAGAGAGGAGGAAGAAGGCTCCCTGCAGAGCAGAGAGCCCGATGTGGGGCTTGATCCCAGGACACTGGGATCATGACCTGAGCCGAAGGCAGAGGCTTTAACCCACTGAGCCACCCAGGTGCCCTGTTAGGTGGTTGTTTTAATAAGCAAGAACTTATATATGAGACTTGCCTTGGGCAGTCACGAGATAGTAGATCTTAGCACTCAACTACTAGAATTTTAAAAGTGTATACAGAGGTCTTAAGTGGGGTTCAGTCACATCTATAGTCCATATGGTCACAATAACAACACATTGTTCAAGACTGCATCCTTGAAACAGCTCTGGCTATGGGAACAGTGAGTAGAATGTATACTCCAAGAATAGGGGAGGGGGCAAGGAGCCTCCAGTCTCCCTGGTACAGCTCACAGATTAACCAGCATTAATATCCTTTGGATAGCCCCTTCCAACATAGTCAAAGGGTACGAAATTTCAGTTATGCAAAATGAGTAAGTCCTAAAAAACCTACTGTACACCATGGAGCCTATTGTTAATAATGCTATATTTTACACTTAAACATTTTCTGAGAGGGCAGCTATTAAGTTGAATGTTCCTACCACACATGCAGAATAGTAATAAATACGGGATAGGAAGAAACTCATAGAGGTAATAGATATACTTAAGGTATAGACTGTGGTGATGTGAGTTTCATCGTGTATATTTCTCTTCAAAATCATCTAGCTCTATCCATTACATATATACAGCTTTCTGTATATCAACAAAAAAAAAAAAAGCAAAAAACACATATTTGTGTAAGTATGCACTGAAGAAGATTTGCCTTGATCTTTTGTCATGAACCAAAAGCTCTGTGTTAGTAACTGACTGTGTTGACAAATCTGGCATATTAAGCTCTTTGGCCCTAGGTTGAGTAACAGTGTTACCCACGCATCTAGTAGACTGCGTAGAGATTATAATGAGTCTCAGCTGTTCACATTTTCCTCAATAGTTTCTGCAAATAATGAAATAGCAACTGAGGAAGCAATTAGAATGCAAATTATGCATTGCTACATAATAGCCAACACTAGATTAGATAAACACACTATGATCTATATATGATAAATATGCATAAATATACTATGATTGTTTTAGAAGGCAGCAATTTTAAATCTTGGAATTAAAAATATCTGTCACCTGTGGGCTCATACAAAACA